AACAGGTGTCAAGCCAATGTACATTCACTTGTACAGCCTATGTCAAAAACAGCACACAACAGTGATGAGGAGCTTAAATGGTCTGTTTCAATGAGACGACCCTAAACAATTTTCACTGTTTCCATGCCATAGCAATATATTTATTCAGCAGGCTTTTAGTATTCAAGCGGCAACATGAATTTCCAGTTCACGGCTATCCCAGTGTCTAAGTCGTACAAACGTTAAAAACGAAAGCCTCCAAAATCTAAGCAACTGGATGCATCAACGAACCTGCAGCTCCAATGTTGGTGTCTTGGAGGAAATGCAAGACATGGACTTGTCCCCATTACTAGTTGGAAGAGGTGATTCTAGAAGTGTCCAAGCACGAGCTGGCGGTTGCCAAAAAGACCGTCGCTGCTGCTGTTTCCCAGTGTCTGGCCGACGGTAGATCACACGAACATTTTCCCTAGGACCACAACAACGAGCAATCAGATGTGACGGAAGAATACGGAGACCAAATAAGGCCAGACGCATTCGTTTATAGGTTGATCTATACAATTATCATTCAATCACACCAAACCGTTCTTTCGCTTATTTACAAAACCATCTACTCATAGTTCAACCAAATGTCCATCTGAATTCGCGGATAAGTTTGCATCGGCCAGTAATGAGTCGAGTGAATCCTCCCACCCTACCTGGCCTGGTCTAAAGATAAACCTGTCACAACAGCCCAAATTCGGACAGCAGCTGAGGCTAGAAGAGCAGTAAATTTGATTTCTGGCAAAGTTCCACGGCCAGTCCTTGTAACTGCATTCGCGTCTGACATGACCGGTGGTGGATGAAGAAGCTGAGCGTGGAGCTTGCGGATTCGTCCTACTGCTGCGGCTACCTCATCCGCCTTCGGACAGATCTCCGCGATCTGTTTTACTGCTTGCCGAACTGCCTCCATGTCTAGGAGGAGGGGCGGGCCTTGAGCGACTAATCGAAGGGCACAGATTGCAGAGACTTCGGAGGAATTAAGACCCAGGTACATGTGTTCTGCCTGTAAGGCGGGAATAAAATATGAGACGTAGGGATCTCATTCGGAAAATCAGACAATGTATGAAAGACCAGTCTTCTAAAAGATCTACGGGACCCGTTAGCCATCCACCAAATCGGCACAAGAAAAAAGAGGCAGTTTTAGGAGGACTAATGTCTTATAGAGCAGATGTAAAGGATTCTTCATCTTTTAAATCACTACCTTCAACAACAGTCGACGAGCTTGTTTCAACAAGGCAGTCTGTTGATCCGGTGTGGTAATAGCGTCAATGGCATCAAAGACGGTGAAGTTATTGTTTGGTAGACAAGCTGAGAGAAGAGAGTGAACGGCGGTAAGGAGACAACTGAGCCATGAGGGTAAATCGCCCAACCAGGGACCACCTTCGACAGTCTGCTGACACACTTTCAATTCCAGGCTCAACACGTGCTTCAGCCGGTTTAATCGTTGACATAGTTGAAGATCAACAGCTAAACTGCCGCTTTGGAGGGGAAGGAGGCAGTAGTAATGCAAGGATGCATTAGACGAGTCCTATATCTGAATCCATCAGTGGCTCGATAGGATAAAGGCGCTTACTATGGATAGGTAGGCGATCAACATCAAGTTTTACATCAGAGTCATTACGAAGAAATACAAACTAACCAATAATTACTCTACACTTCAACCACTGTACCAGGAACTCACTCAACATCCATGGGTTCTACCTGTCCTTTTGGCAGCGTATCGATACATTCCAATGTGTGTCGACGCAGCATTTCCACAGTGGATGTGAGAAACCGCAAGAGCTGGTCACTTGTCGCTATTTCCGCACCCTCATCCAGTCGCTGACGCTGATGATATGAGAATGTAGTCGTGCTTATCTCTTACTCACTAAGACTTAAAACCGATGTCAGGGAAAAATGTTGTAAGACTATTGTAGGATTGCGGATTACCAAACGGGCAAGAGTTGTCTAAACTTAGGTTCACTGTCTACTGGCTTTCACAGATTAGGCACAGCAATAAAGGGGTTGTTTTATGCCTCACAAATAAGTAATTGGACGCAATGCAAAACCAAAATACTGAAGAATTTCAAATGCATCGGTAAAGTGAAACAGTTTGTTGTTTTGAAAGAAAAGTACCTTGGGTGTGAGACAGGGGTCTGTGGAAGGCCTCCACACAAACGGGAAATGGAGCGTCTCCTTGGGCAACAAATGTGGCAATAGTTCTCGCAGATAAGACTGCAAAAAAGAATCGATCTACTAATTCCACTCTAGCAGTACCACAGCAGCAGAGAGAATTCCAAGGTATCGAACCCACCTGTGAAGTTGCCAGATGTCGAGGAAAATGTGCGGCTATTCCGGGCGCCCCCGGGTGAGCATTCAGCACAAGAAGGAGAACTGTAATGTAGGCTGCGTCCTCTTTAGTTGGTTCCGGCTCAGAAAGCCATGGATGTGTTCGTAGAAGATTGTACACGCAAACCTCAACGAAGGCTGGATGTCGACGTCCCACTGCTGCAGCGCAACTTGGAGAGTGAATCGACAAATAGTCATGTCAGCATCCCGTATAATCCAAATAATATCCGAAAAGTTTCGATTGTGTGTCATTACAGTCAAAACCTTCTGCATCGAGGTGAGCCAAAGGCGTGGTGATCATCATACAACGGGATCTTCCCTCAAATGAAGACGCTAAATTCGTGCTTTTACATAAGGCGACAAGAATGACGCTAATGATGATGGGGAACTCGAATGATCAATCAGCAAAAGGCCGGAAAATATTACTGCGGTTAATCAGACACTGGATAAAAACCAAATCTTGGGCCTCTGAATAATACTGTTTGTAAAATTATGCAGAAGATCAATCTGTGACTACCTTCAATTTAGAAACATTGGTACACTCAGGTTTGAGTGAAATGAGAGCCCTAGTAAAATGATTCACCATCA